GGGATGACTGAGCTCAATCAACTAATCGATAATGAGAATCGTTAACAATTCTCATTATCAATTTTATCGATTAGTTGTTGCAGTTCTACCGGAATGCATTTTTGCTGATAATTAGGGGTCTTGAATGCATTTTTCAGATTTAGCTCCTGAGTTTAGTGTCATTTTAACGCTGTTAAGCTGCAGTACCTATTGCTGTATTGTCTATCCATGTCTTAGTTTAATGCATACAATGCCTGTCTTTCTTTTTAGATGTTAAGCCCCAGATTGTGAATGTCTTGCTAATGAAGAAGGGCCAAAATTCGGTAAGATCATGTTGCTTTATTGAACAATGTATTTGTAGTGTATGTTTGAGGATCAAGTAAAACTGACATCTACTCCCTGTTCACTAAATAGCTAGGAGATTAGCTATAGTAATTGGAGACTATATGACTGCCATGGGGGGTATCAGAGTGGGCTCCTTTTTCTTCAATATTTCTGAAATTATTTGTAAAACGAAATTCTACTCCAGCTTAAACTAAAATGTCTCCTTCTGTCCCAGTGACCACTGTCACCTCTGTCTTTGGGACAGGAAATGAGGGGGCACAGACGTTAAAGCCTGTCCTAGCCCTTGAACCCCTCCCCCCCGGAAAAAATTGTTGGACTTGTGCTTTAGGTTGTGTTATCATTCACGCCTGTTTATACAATAAATGTATTACAGCTTCTGAAGTGTTATTTATTATCTTAAATTGATAGAGTTCTCTGTAGTGGCAATTGTTTATTTTTTGCCTTGAAGCCCTGTCATATGTAGGTACACCTCTCGCCTATTAAGGGACACCACATGTTTTAACATTTGGATTATACTGCCACCTACAGTAGGATTAGACAAGGGTGAACAAAAAGAAAAAAAAGCTGTAGGTCAGCCCAGGATAAATTCCTCCTTCTACCAGCATGCTAATGTCCTCGGAGGATGGAGATCTTTTCTTTAGCTCTGCTCTGTTAAAGACTAACCTCATTTTTGCTAACACTTTTTTTGTACTCTTTGATTTATTTGTTTTGTTAACTCTTCCCTACATTGCTGCCAGAGCTTATCCCTCTGATTGCAGCTACCTAGTATGGTTGTCCTAAGCCTGGCCTTTGGAGTATGGCACCTGGACCCTGCAGGACTGGGTATTGCAGGGTTTGCCTGGAAGTGAACTTCAGGTGATGGATTCCCTCTGGGATGTTTTCTACACTCCTGTTCTATTAAGAGTTATAGCTGTGGAGCCCTTTGCAGGCACAGTGTCATTGGTGTTGCCTCTCTGAAGATTCACTTAAAGTAGGCACCTTTTAGGTAAGCACCGGGAGCTTCCTTATTTACATAGGTTGCTGGGCACCTTTTAAATTGCCTGTTCCTACCAATTTCTACCACGCAAAAGGTTAATGCTGTTAGTGCAGACGTCACATGCTCTCCTTCCCGCCATGCATCTGCTGCTGCTGCAAAGAGCCAAATGGAACTTCGATCTTCTGTCTGTTCTTGCTACCTACCTACAGTGATGTTTGCAGCCAGGAATTATGTTACCCTCTGCTCCTAGAGTCTATTCTGTCATGAGTCGTCGTTGGCTCTGTCAGGTGTGACTGGATCCTTTGCCCTTTTTGTCTGCGGTTTTTACTACAGTGATGCAAGACTTTAAAACTACCCAGTTATTTGCCCACACTGACTCCAAGGGCCACAGGATGACCTCACGCCTTCTCCCACAGATTCAATATTGGACATACCAGTGGCTTCAGAGCCATGGGATGCAGAAACTCTGTCTGATTCCAAGTCCCTGACTGATGAGCTTGACCCTGAGGAGTCAGGCAATTGCTATTACTTCTATATTAAAGGTTTTTTGCCTTTTATTGATGCAGTTCACACTGCTTGGTAACTAAAGGATCAGCAATTGTTTCTACCCGTGCTGTCCCCAGTCTCGGGTCCTTTTAAAGCTCCTAAGGCCTTAAAGATTTTCTCCTTGCACCCGCTCTTCCAACTTTTTCTATACAGAGATTGGAAACATGCTGGTAAGCTGTGTTTTTCAGCCAAGTGCTTATTAGCCCTTCTATTTGGGGATGATTTGGTGCAAAAGTGGTCTATTCCCAATGTGTTGCGCCCTAACAATGCATCCAATAGTCTTGTAGAGGATGCCTATGTCTTTATGGACCTAACAAATAGGCGTTTGAAGCACTTTCTTTAAATATGTTCACTCCCTTTTACCTGATCCTGGCTGTGACTTTGCTTTGTCAAACCATGTCTGACTGGTCAAAAAAGGGACAGCTGCATTTGACTTCTTGATTATTGCATACATGAAGCAAATGACTGTAGCCTTAAATTTCTGTTGTGACTGTCTGCTGGAAGTTTCCTGTCTAATCTCTTGCATGAGTCTCATGTTCGTACACATGCGTAGGGCATTTGGTTAAAATGCTGTACTGCGGAGCCCTCGTGTGAGAAGCATTGGAGCCGCATGGCATTTGAGGGACCTGCTTATTCACTATACTAAAACCCCATCTTGGATCTCAAAGCTCTGAATGTCTTAATTTAATTTCAGAATTTCTGCTTCGATTCCATCAATTCTGTCATCACACCCCTTCACCAGGGAAATGTTCTACTGTTGTGGACATCAAGGATGCGTACCCATCTCTCCAGCCCATCCACATTTCCTACATTTTCCTGTAGGCCCCAGTGCTACCAGTTTGTGGTACTGCCCCTATGGCCTAATCTTCTGAACACTTTGGGTGTTCACCAAAGTGCTGGTCCCAGTATTACTCCTGCTGCGCTTTTATGGCATCCCCAATGTGGGAACAGCTGAGGGAACAGTCGCCATGGGCTCTGTTGGACAAGAACTGATGACAGATGTTTAAGTAGATCATGGACATTCTGAAATCACTGTGGACCGACTCATCATTTAGAATATCTGGACACGACTCAGTGTTTTCTTCCACAGGGGAAACTTCAGACTCCAACCCTTTTCTATTCTATCCAATGCAAAGGAAGGATTTCACTTTAATACTGAACAGATCCATCATATTACAGGTACTAGTTATGCACATTTCTAATTTCCCTGCAGAATGTTAATGTAAAGAAGCTGGAAAAGGCTGAAGCTAAACTGAAATCTAAGCAAGAAAAGCGATCCGATCGTGACACCCAAAAAGTCGGTGGGAATGTGTAAGTGTAAAAAAAAAATGGTTATTGTGCAGAAGAGCAATGAATACTTTACTGTTAAAAGTGAACCTGCGGGCTCACCCTGCATTTTAAAGTGGCCCTAAATCCATTGAGCATTCTCAGTTTATCTTCAATTTGCCCAGGTATCACTATTTACTTCTATATAAGACTGGCAACCTGGATGATCAAATGTCTGGATGAAGGCAGACAAGTGCTCAACCATGAAAACGGTTGATTTATAGACCTTTTAGGAAATGGTTGATATTTGGAAAAGATATTTCTGGGCAAGTCCAAGTTTAAGGAAAAATAAAAAAAATTAGCTGGAGCTGCTTTTTTGTTTTTATCTTCAGCATTGTCCCCACTGCTCTTATGTAACTCTAATTCTCTTCTGGGTTGGCTGTGTCATTGCCCAGCATAATTGAACCCACTTTCTGTGATCCCTGGGTCCCAAGGACTCACCCCATTCTTGGACCCATATGCAGCAGAAAACAGTGCCATGTCATTTAGTATCGCTCCTGGCAGCATTCAGGATCCTCTCACTGCCAAAGGAAAAAGAGGACCTGTGGCATTACCAGACATAAGATGTCTACCCAATTTTTTCTTTTAGAGGGTGCGAGGGGTGCTTCAGGGGACACCAACAGTTGGGGTGCAGGGTTGTTCTATTCCAAGCTGGTAATTGGGTTTAAAAGATAAACTGTGAATTAGAATATGCACTTGGAGATGGAGAAGTAACACAATGCCTCTCTGAAAAATGCTTGCTGCCTTGCTGATCCAGTATCTTCAGTAATTTCACTAGTCTCTGGCTCAAACTCCTACGCAAGTCTGAAGATCTAACTTCACTTGCTGGATAGTTACTCCTGGTCAGTCATTCGAAGTACTAAAACCAGTGGCAGCTATGGATTGAGCCCTTTCAGAAGAGGGGAACTGTAATGACAACGAATATAGGTTTATAGGTAGCGTTGGTAATTGCCTACCTTTTTGCCTATGCAAACATACTGTATTTATTTCCACTTAAAACCTACAGAGTAATGGAGGAGGCGTCCGCCAGTCAAGCTGGCAGTAAAAAGGAGAATCGAATAGAATCCAGTGGCAAGAACAAATCCTATGATGTTCGAATTGAGAACTTTGATGTGTCATTTGGAGAGAGGTATGTTTACTAGAATAAGAAAATGGCTAAAAACAAAAACAGTAGGTTTTTGACACTTATATCTTTGTCTTTATCATTTTATTTACAATTGCGGTTTACCTGCTTCTTCAACTGGAAATTAGGTTAAAATAAAATCTTATCATAATACGTATGTAGCAAAGTTGAACTGGACGTTCCTGAGGGCAACAGACCAAAGAGGTCCTGTTGAAAAGATTTGCCCTTGTGCTTAACTTTTGTATAAGGTTTTCTAGCTACAAATGGATTAAACATTTAAAAAACAAAATCCAGTTAAACAGTCAAAGAAACACTTAACAATATAATAGAGGATCCTTAATAGACCAGACCATGTATAGCAGTGATAAAATACCCTTGTAAACAACATTTGAAGACTTATTTGTATATGTACATATTCTGCTCCAAAGCTAACTAATGTAACTCAACACAAAATATTTAGCTTCAAGTGAAGTGCAGTATTTTGAAAAGTCCCAGCTTGGTGTAGATGCTTTAGATGAGATGTTAGGTAGCTGGAAGTCTTGTATCCAGCCTTGGGCGGCAGTTGTATTCTCAAAAGTTGGGATAGACTTCCTTTATCAACCAGTCGTTCTAGTGGATAATGTAGATGTGGAAGCCCTATTACTGCAGATTGAATTAATCAGAATGTAGAATCGGAGGAGAGGGAGACTAGGCGACACCTTAATTGTGTATCTCGGGCTTGGTGTGCATCAGTTATAATCCATACACAAGCCGTATTCCACCAAACCTTGAGTTTTGCATTGTTGGGTGCAGTTAGCCTTTATGTGACTTAAACGCTTCTTTTTAGGGAACTTTTCTAATGATTCGTTATTCTATTATCTGTTTAATAGAGTCCTTCTGACGGGTACAGAGTTGCATTTGGCATCAGGTCGCCGATATGGATTGGTCGGCAGAAACGGTTTGGGTAAAACAACATTATTGAAGATGCTCGCTAGCCGCAGCCTTCGTGTTCCTTCACACATCAGTATCCTGCATGTGGAGCAAGAGGTGGCTGGTGATGATACCCCCGCACTTCAAAGTGTATTGGAGTGTGATACTTTACGTGAGAGCCTTCTACATGAGGAGAAAGAATTGAATGCAAGGATCAGTGCTGGAAAGTAAGAAAAAGTGAATGCTTGAAACATTTAACAGCATACAGAATATGACACTAGGTGGTGTATGATAATTGTTCCGTTCATTTTGCCATGTACAGTGCTCAAAATAATAGTGTTGAAATCATGAGTCATTCTTCAGCTTCATTACTTAATGAGTCACTGATCCCAAGTATGTTGTGAGTCAGAACCCCTGACCTGTTACTTGCACTGGTAAATCCAGAGGATCATCAGATTAGCACAAAAGTCCAGTAATCAGCATTTTCAGAGCAGTGTTGGCAATGGCAACCTTTATCATTGTTTTTTTCTCTCATGAAAGGTTCTCTTTTATTCATATTTAATTGCTTACTGTATTGCTAGACCTACCTGTAGCGGGGGCTATATTGATAATAAGTAATATATATATATGGATTGCGATCTTTCCACATTCAGTAAAACTGGGGGGGGGGATAATTGAAAAAATAATATTTTTTTTTTTTCTATCTTTCATTTGGGTACACAGCAGACCTTGGGGTTTTAGGCACTGCCGCTAGTAGTAGGAGGGATACTAAGAAAGTAGTTGCTCCTGTCCTGAGGCTATACTTCCCAAATGGAAGATAAAACAGTACCTTGTTACTAGTCTGATTAAAAAGGTAGTGCTTCTCTTTAGTATTACCGAACACGCATGTTGCTGAGTCTGGGTGATACATTTTATATTTTTCTATGTAGCTGAAAGTTTGTTGATTTTATTTGTAGCCACACTTTAAAGTACACCTGTTACATTGGTTACCATGTATACA